AATTACAACTGAATTTGAAGTACTTGGATCAGAAGTAGACTGTTTTTTTTACAGTAGAAGTAGATGGAACAGAAGTAGAGGTAGTAGAAGTAGAATTACTTTCGGAGGAAGAAAATGCAACAAAAGTTGAAGGCACATGGAGAGGCTTTACAAGAGCTACATGCACATGCTCAGCTTCCTTGCGCCTACGCACTGATTTGCAGAATTTGTTTGCACTCGATAGAGTCACAGGGGACTCGCGCGTCTCGTTCAATAGAACGGTAAGCTCGTTTCCCTTGGCATCATGCACCACGAACTGATTATCTGCCCACGTGGTCCTTAGGCAATGAGCCTTTAACCAGCCCAAGCCAATGACCGCGTCAAAAGGACACTTGTCCATGACGTAAAAGTTCAGCTCATGTGTGAAAGTGCGATCCTTGTCAAAAGTGACGCGCACACCTTTGACAGCATGTGTTGAGGTGACAACTTGTTGGTTGCCTACCTTGGTCTGACAAGGGTTCTGCAATTCCAGTTGCTTCATTCCCAGGCCCGCCTTACGAATCCCGTTAGGAGAAAATAAGTTAGTCGTTGAGCCACTATCAATCAGCACGCGGATGTATCAGGGGTTAATGAGCAACTTAGAGAAGGTCAGCTCCACACTCCCTTGAACACGGCGTTGCTGCTTGAGCTGCAACCAATGTTTCAGGTGAGAGTGGAAGTCAACTTTCGTAGTCTCCTCCCAAGGCTCAGTGTAAAGTACTTAGACTGCAGCAGCATTGGATTCAACATCGGTCCGGGCTTCAAGAGCAGGCTGTTGATCAGATTCAGGCTCCTTGGAGGGGCCTGCAACTGACGGTTGAACTTCCCTTGTCGTATAGAGTGCTGACAATTCTTCTACGCCCTTTGCCTGTTTCCGTGCAGACGATAACAGTCCTGCACAGCGTGCCCAGGCTTCTGACAATGCAAGCACACACGCAGTTTGGATCTTCTCTCTCATTCCTTTTGACTGATGTGGAGGGCTTCCCAAGGCTTGGTAGAAGCATCCTCCGGTTTCTCAGGGATCTTTGCATTCTTGGGGAGGTGTGCTATAGTTCCCTTACCCGGACTACGGTTAAGGCCCTTTGCTTGAAGCAGTCTTTTTAAAGGCATTACATTTTTCTTCAGCATTCATGTCAGACTCAAGGCCTGATGTAGAACATCCCACGTCGGAGTTCGACTCTAGATCGTCATCTAGAGACAAATCATCCGCATAAGACTGATCCTCAGCCTCCCGATGTTTATGCAGGGCAAGCTGGTTGCTGCTTCCGTACCGCTTGCGTTGCGAGGTTCTACCTGCAGTGGGTGCCTTTGCACGCTTGGTGAGGTCCTTGGCTTCTAGATTGACCAGACCCGTCAGTAGCTCTCACCAAGTCATATGGTCTTTGAGTCCTAGTCGGGAGACGTATTCTTTAGGGGGCACTCCCGTAACTACATCCATGCAAGACACGTCAGTCCATCCCAGGTTTGGAGTGGTGAACAGACCAATCAAATGCTGCTCCAAAGCCTGCATGGAAGTCCTCCACTTCCATATTCTTTAGGGGCCACTCCCATAACTACATCCATGCAAGACACGTCAGTCCATCCTAGGTTTGGAATGGTGTACAAACCAGTCAAATGCTGCTCCAAAGCCTGCATGGAAGTTCTGTTTGTACCAAAGAAAGGAGGTAAACTACGGATGTGTATCGATTACTGCAGACTGAATAGAATCACAAGAAAGAATGCATATCCTTGAGCAGATTCGGGCTGACTCTAGCAGTCAGCCTGATTTCCATGAATGTAAGGGCTTACTTTTCTGACATTACGGGAAGCACGAGCGACTGTGTGTACCCAACCATGAGCCGATCCTTACTCACTTCTTGGACTTGGCTCATGACCGGAGTGGACACCTCGGTTTTGAGAAAACATACGGAAGTCTGCTGCAAAAGTTTGTATGGCCTAGAATGAAAGGAATGGCACGGAAGTTTGTGGCTGAGTGTGAAGTCTGTCAACGCATCAAACTGTCTCGGCAAAAGCCCTATGGGCTGCTGCATCCTCTTCCTATTCCTGATGGCTCGAGTGAGTCTCTTTCCATCGACTTCACTGACATGGGAAAGAAGAGTAGGAATGGATATTTGCAAGTAATGGTGATCATTGACCGCTTTTCAAAATTTCTGAATCTGATTCCATTACCACCTCACGCCCCAACTGACCTTGTGATCAAAGAGTTTCATAAGAAGTACATTCTGCAGTATGGGCCCCCGAAAACTCTCGTGAGTGACCGGGACACTAGGTTCATAAGTGCAGATTGGAAGGACTTCTCCTCCTACATCTATGACATCAAACTCAAGATGACATCTGGTCGACATCCCGAACGCAATGGTCTGGCCGAGGAGATCAACCAGACTGTGATCCAACTTCTCCGAGCTCTAATTGTGCCTGATCAGAACTCTTGGGATGAGGAGTTGCCGATTGTGCAGGGGTTGTACAACAACTCCATACACTCCTCCACCGGGATGACACCTAACCGGCTGCACCTGGGGTGGAAAATTCGCAATCCTCTATCCTATCTGTTTCTTGAACAGCCACCTGGCCTGACACCTGGCCAGCCAGGCTACGGTGCTAAGTTTGATCGTTTGCTCATAGTCGCTGTCGCAGCTATGGAAAGGCGACGCAGTGCCATGATTAAGCATGCAAACAAAAAGCGCCAGCCCGACCCTTTCACAGTGGGAAGTTATGTTTGGGTTAAGATGTCTGAGTTTTCTGAAGAAGAAGGTGTATCACGGAAGCTTCTTCCTCAGTACTACGGTCTGTGGAAAGTGCTGAACCGAGTAGGAGACGACTCCTTTGGTCCTTCTTACACGATCGACGTGCCTACTCATCTGCGCATGTACCCAGTCTTTCATGTGTCAAAGTTGTTTCCGTATGATTCACCTGAAACTTTTCCGTATCGAGAATCAATGATTCCCCGCGCAATCAATGGCGGTCACGAGGTTGATGGAATTGTCGAGCACAGTGGAAAGGTAAGAAACAGACAGTACAAAGTCCATTTTCTGTACCACCCGTTGAATGACTTCTACTGGATCGCTAAGAAAGACTTGCTGCAGAGTGCCCCGCGTGTAATCAATGCATATGAACGATTCATTAGTTCTGAACAGCAGCCTAAATTCACTGCTACCCTCACTCCTACGGAACATACCCGATCTCTGTTTGCTATTTACGCTTAGGATGCATTATGCAAGGACTCTGAGTGAGTTACTCGCTCGAAGGGACCTCGCTCTTGAGGGGGGGTTAGTGTAATGACCCGCCGTAAAACAGACTGAGAACACTGCTGATTTCTGAAGTTCTGGCGATGGAATGGATGCCTTGCTGAGATTCCCGCATTCTGCTGTGTTTTCTAAGTCTGTATGTGTGTGTGCCTGTGGACTTGCGTGCCTGTCTGAGTGCTTGTCGGCATGAGTGTGTGTGTGACCCGCAAGGGTACTAGCTTGTTTGGCAGGCCCGTAGGGCCGGTACTTACCTGTGGCCATGGCATTGAGGGTTGCAGCAGGGAAAACACTCAAGTAGCGGAGCCTGGGGCCCACGATGCTTAGAGCAGCGGAAAAACACTCAAGTAGCAGGTAGGCCGGTACCGCACCCAGTCGCAGTAGATGTGCCGGGTACTCGAGGCCGAGCAGAAGAAGACAAAGTTGGCACTCTTAGAGGCCCAGTACCAGTCCATCCAGTCTGAGTCTAGAGCCTGTACGGGCAATATCATAGTCTGGAATGATGTTTCCCTCCGAAAGGGAGGAGGTACCGGTTGCTTGGGAGGCCGAGCGGCCTGGAAGTCGCCCAGCAGGCAAGCAGGCCGCTATATCAAGAGGCCGAGGCAAGAGCTCTGCCTCATTCTTCAGTGTGCAAGTTCGCTGCTGGAGCGCTGGCTGGAGTGGCGCTGGGTACTACAGCGCTGATGGGAGGAAGAAGCCGGTAGCTTCCACCTTGGCTATGGTGGAACTCTACCGGTAGGAGGGGGAGGGAGAAGGAGACCAAGGAGGAGAGTGGTGGGGTACTTACCTGGCTATGGCAGACACCATCTTCATCACCTTGTTAGGCGCTGCATCTGGAAGGCCCCAGTGGGGGTAGTGCCGCATCAAGGAAGCTCGGGGCAGAGTCAGGCATGGCGGTTGAGTGGGGCAGCGGTATAGCTGCATKGTGTTGACCTTGGGACAGAAGGGCAGCGACATAGCTGCTTTGGGTTGTCCTTTGGACAGGAGGGAGAGCCCTCAGTGCTCCGCCATAGCCTCGGCCTGTATGTAGAGGAAGAGTAAGGGTGGCCATGGCTATGATGGACCTCATGTTGTGCCTGCAGTAGAAGTGGGATTCGGACATTGATTCTGGTTCAGTCATTCAACATTATTATTATCTCTTGTTTGAATAAGAGGGGAGGAGATAAGGAGGAAGAGATTGGTTGGCGAAGAAGAATAGCCTTGTCATTGGTCTATGCTGGAGTACATCATCTTCTTCTTCTTTCTTACTTCTTCTTCTTCTTCTTTCCCTCTCTCTCCTCTCAAGTTCATTCGTTTCTTTTTGCAGTTGGATGGCATTGTACTTTCAGATGAATGTATACTTCGAAAATGGGCCAGGATGGATGGATGGATGGATGGATGGATGCTCGTGAACTGGATATTCGCTATATCTAATCTGAGCATAAAGCAGGCATGAGTGCGGTAACTATATAGTAGTAACCAGGTGGGGGATATGCCACTGTGTCTCAAATCATTATGTTTGAGTAGGAAAGTAGCAAACTCTTCATTCTGCCTGCACCTCTAAGGGCTTTCAGGGTGTTTGCACCGAACCAGGAAGCCGTGGGGTATTCCAACATTCCATGAACGGGTAGGATACTTGGTGTCCATCAGAGGTTGTGCTTCCTGACGTGTTTCTCCCTAATCACTCATAAACTCGACCAGGTTGACTCGTAATCACAAATCTCACTTTTGTTGTCTTCCTGCTTTGTGGTTGACTTGCAGTGGTGGTGATTCCGTTGGGCGCTGTTGGCTTGTACCAATGTTCACAGCACTTGAAGCGGAATTTTAGTCGGGCAGCTCTCTACAGGTAGGCTTGACACAGCGGAGGGGTTTGCATGAGATATGTTCTTTTTGTTTTTCTACATGCAGCTCCAGTGTTGCACACCTCGACGGTCAGCAGCCCTTGACAGGTCGCCGACCAGCCGACCGGTCAGCTGGTCGGCACCTGCTTGTCGGGGGTCATCGGCACCCTGCACAATTGTTTTTTTTTTTTTTTTTTTTTTTTGCGGGGTTACATGCAGCTCCAGTGTTGCACACCCCGACGGTCAGCAGCCCTTGACTGGTCGCCGACCAGCCGACCGGTCAGCTGGTCGGCACCTGCTGGTCGGGGGTCATCGGCACCCCTAATAACACCACAAACACCGCTGCGATGTGTGTGAAAACTTCTGCGAGAGAGAGCCTGAGAGAGACATGAGTGAGAGAGAGAGAGAGAGAGAGAGAGAGAGAGAGAGAGAGAGAGAGAGAGAGAGAGAGAGAGCAAACAAATAGCCCTTTAACATTGTCAGAGAACCTCTGCGGGTAATCCTAGAGGCCCCTGCAAAGAATTAGCAAGGGCCTCCTCTGCACGAAAGTGGCACTTCTCGAACACATTGCAGGGCAGCAGCACGTCAACTATATATGGCGTAGATTCACATTAAGGTCCTTGTTTCAGCAGTTATGGGACCACGGAGGACGTGATTATCTGGGCAGTAGCAGGCCAACTCACCATGTGATTTTCAGGGCTTCCCTCCACTACTCACCAAATGTGCAAAACTAGAATGAATCTTCTGCTAGAACATGGAATCATACGCTGCCATATGTTTTGTCTTTTGTGCAAGTGGTGACGAGTGGAGCCAGGCCCTTAGGGTCACTGCTTGTAGGAAAAGGAAAACAAAAGAAAGATGAGAGAGCTACAGCAGCAAGTAGTTGTAGCCCATAACTGCTGCAGCACAGACCTGAATTCGGATCCAGAAGATATATTGCTGGCCTGCTCCTTGCTTATCCAAAATTCGTCCAGTCTCTCTGCTGTGATATAAGAGCCCTGCAGATTCTCTGCTTGTGGCCCTTCAAAAAAAAAGCTATATTCAACGAGGAATACGGGGCCCTTCCCCCCCCCCTGTCTCTTATACACATCTAGATGTG